GCGTTGAACAAAGACTAAACTCTACAAGTCGCTCATCAATCCTATCTTGCTATATGGCTGAGTGTTGTGGACGATGACTACATCCGGTGAGTCAGGGAGACAATTGCTCTCACATCCACTATAAATGTTGTTACTTGTTGATTCTGCAAGAATAGCATTGTAGCCAGATATTCACTCTCATATGAGTACATATGTACATCAATACATATTTGATTTATGCTCCGTTGCGCCACATTGACGCGAGCGTGTTGATGACGAATATTGTACGTGAATGTCCTTAAAGTGTACGCGTATATCCTCACCCACATATTAATGTTATTGTTAGTACACATGTGTGTGCTATACATACATATATACATACTCACATATGTGGATTTACTTTTGTATTTTTATTTACATTACTGTAATATTAATCATGTTTTTCTTGGTTCGACTTAAAACTTAATTATACTCCTGCGGCCGTGATAACTCATGACCGACAATAACCACATATGCAAATAAATATGCGGAATTCAACTATATATATCCACACACACTCACACATAAGTATGTAAGGATGTGTTTAAGGCAGCATGCTACTTACACTTGGCTCGAACTCTCTCATATGGTCTCAGTGCATACGTATAAGCAAGAATATCCTTTATCCGCTCAAATATACGCGTGGGAAAACGCAAAAAAAAAGAAGTTAAACTCGCTCGAACGCTTAATGCGTCATATACGCGCGAACGCGAACGCCAACGCCAACGTGAATGTCGAGTACAGATTCACTGTGTATGTCTGGTAATAAAATTATCTGTTAATAACTGCCGTTGGCCTTTGGTCACTCAGTGGGGCAGCGTGAGCCGAATGGACGTTCATTCGAATACTTGATTACCTTGACTACTTATGTATTTGCGCTTGTATTTTTCCAGCTACTTATTTGCTTGCGACAACAGTTTCAACAATCCCACATATAAAAATGTGTATGTAACCGTAAATACGTATGTACATATGTCTGTAAGGTTGTGTGCAGGCATTTTTTCATGTACGCATATTTGAATGAGTGGTCTGCATAATCTTGGACATGGGATAATTGCAAAAGACGTGATTACCATTTAATTACCGTAAGATTTAAAACACTTTAATAAAAATCGGTAATCAGGAGATTTCTTTTCACCTTAATTTTCATCTCCAATAATTTTGAAATAATATTTTGAGGTATTTAAGCAATGATTTTGGAGTTCAAATAGAGAATCTAGAAATATTAAAGGTAAGGTATGGAAGATCTTAAAGAAGTAATGAAGCATAATAAAGGTATTATCCAGATCAATTTCTTCGGAATGAAATAGAGTTTTCGTATTTCCAAATATTTTTTAGACATGAAATTTTTAAGAGTTCAAGAATTTAGAATTATTACTTTTCATTATGTTTTCACAATGGTTTCGGATAAGCGACCACCGCGGCTGACTAAGAAACATATCAGCCGAGGGGCCCGATTTTCGACAACTTTTACAGCAATTGGATCTTGTAGGCTACACTACAGGCTCATGCCGTGAGATAATTCGCTCACCAATATTTTCTTTCAATAAGTTGATTGTTTCGTTGGCTCCACGGCTTGTATCGCCGTCTTGTTAGAACCAAAGGTTTACCGGCTTCAATTTTGAAGAAATATAGATATGAATTATTGTTACTCTAAATGCCACAATTTTATATATTAACGTATCAATTGAAAAAAAGAGTTTTATTGCTGATCAAACTTCTCTAGTGAAAATAGGGTTCGGGTCTATATACCGGACATGTGGGCTTATAAACCGAACATGCGACGCGCTTGTTGGTCGTTCATCTTCAATTCTTGTACGAATTAAATCTTCTAAGCCCACAAACCAAGATATTTCCGCAAAAATTTTCAGTAAAGTGGATGGGCTCAGCACTATTTGTAGCGCCCGATTGCGGACGGACTCATTCGGATCTTTTTCAATACCCAGCAATAGAGTTTTCTGTGTGCTTGTGTGCTCTCTTCGGTGTCTCCGAGGATGCACACTATGAGCTAGAGTAAGCCCGTCCGTGTGAAACCGCTCCATGGTTCCTCAAATAAAATACGCTGCCTGACGATTATGCTGACCGAATATTGGACGCGATAGGCGAACTAAATTGTTGGTGATAAATCTCCACCAGTTGCAAACATGGTTCCTGAGTAAGTCTGTTCGTTATGAAGTAACATTCCAAACTGAGTATAAATCGAGTTACACCCAAAATATTATTGGCTTATTTAAAACAAAGCATCTTAATAAATACCCTTTAAATATACTATATATTATATGGACGCATTATAACCACTGAAGCTGGGTTTGGCCGAGCTCCTCCTTCAATTCGTAGTATGCGTCATGATGCCGTTATATTGCATCATGTAAGAAATACATTCAGAAGAGTTGACATTCTCTGCTGAGGGGCGATCGCAATTTACGTGTTGGGCTCCAAATCTTATGTACACCCCACAGGAAACTCTTTTTCACACTTTGGTTTGGTTCCAAATGAATTCTCTGTATACTTATTTTGGCCACTTCCAAGTGGCGCAGAATCATTCCTGTTACATTATATGGCTTGAATGATGACAATATACAGTGAGTCAGCTTTAGGAGTTTTCGGGAGAAAGAAAGCAAGGAGAACGATAAGCTGAAAGATATTAAACACACAGCGACATTGACAGAGTTCAGCGAATTATGAAACAGCGATTACGCAAGCTATTTTATGTCGCTTAGTTAGATGTGAGTATCCAGATTTGAAAGTATTAACCGCTGGTGGAAACAGTGGAAGAAGAAGATCTTCAGTGCGTTAGAAAGGTTAGGAGGAGGGTGCCCTGGCTTTGCCTGGATTTTCCAATTGGCGTCAAATAGTGACGGAAACGACTAGCTGTTGTTGTTATGTACGTAAGCGGTGCTATTTTTTTTTTAGTTTTATGTGAAACTCAGTAGAGTATTAAAATGTTTATTTATGATTTTTCGGAATTAGAAGTCAAAATGCAAACGAAAATCGTGAAAACGTTTCAGCCTCTTTCTCGGACAGCTAAAACGTTGTTAATTTATTCAATCGCTTCTACTTGAAGAAATCAGAACTCCTAGCAGTTTTGAGAGAGAATATAGTTGACTTGAAGAAAATGCTAAATTTCCCAAAATTGTTTTTATTTAAAATGTTTTTAAAAAGGTTTTTTTAAAGCCACCTGTGCTGAAAATAAATCCCAACGAATATACATTTTCACAATGTGCTATAATTAAATTTTTAAATATCTTAGCATCACACGCGCTGAACCACTTTGTGTACGTATTTACATATATAATATATAATATATTCAATCATAAAATATAAACAAAGAAAATTGCGATTTTTTCTATTTGTTTTGGGTATCTTTTCTTTTTTGGATAAACGCCCTCGGATTTTTTAAGAATTCTCATGCTATTCTAAAGGTATAATAAATCAGCAATAATTCTAAAATAAATCTAATGTGTTAGTGAGTAACAACATCCATATATATTCATATATACAAATTGTTCTAAATATGTGTTGCAACAATCCACTTAATTAGCGACAAAAAGTTGTTAAAAATTAGAGTATTTTGTAAGAAATACAAAGAAAATATTATTCTTTTCAATAAATATATATATTTATAATATTTGAAATGTGCTGCTTGAATGTGTTTAAATATGTGCTTATTTATATGGAGAAATGCACAAAAAGGTAACCCTGCAACTGACGACTTTATCGTCAAATTTGACATTTCTGATTTTCAACTTAAATTTAAATTTAAATATTATTAAAGCTCATTCAAGAACGCAGCACATTTCAAATATTACATATATATATATTTATTGAAAAGAATAAAATTCTCTTCCTTTCTCTCAAAATACTCGAATTTTCAACAACTCTTTGTAGCTAATTAAGGGGATTGTTGCAACACATATTTAGTACAATTTATACATATTAATTTTAAAATTTTAATTTTAATTGAAAAGATTAAATCTTCATTTGTCTCTTTTCTTCAATAAAAATCATCACTGGAGCAGAATAAGTTCGGAGAAATCACTTTTTTTTGCTCATACTCATTTACAAGTGATTTTACATCCTGACATGTCCTTAAAAAGAGATATGTGCATTTATGAACATGCATAAGTACATATATACATATGTAGGTGTGTATATGCAAATGAATGCCGCACAGTTTTCAAATGCGAATTTAATAAGTGACAGCCAACAATTAACCACCGCTTAATGACGCTATTGGAAAAGGAAGTGTAAGAAGCAGCAGCAACAGAAGTGTAAAAATCAGAAGTTTCAAGCAGAGCTCCATTTATATAGTGTTGTTGTTGTTGATTACCCAACGGTATGACATCTCAGTGGCATACAAGTCATTTGCAAGGTTAACAACTCTGCATTAAATACATATGTATGTACGAGTATGAATGTAGATATGCAGTGGCAAATGATTCGTTCTTATATTTCTACACGTACACGTAGATATATATATATATACATATGTGTGTATGAACTTGTGTACTTACATAAGTAAACAAACGGTATCCTTAATTAAAAACGAGCAAATTAACTGAATGATCATGTGCAACAGCTACGCCACTAGCAAGCAACAACAGCAATGACATTGCAGGCGACCAAGTGCATTTGTACGAATAAATGTATAAATAAATGTAAATAACGGTGATTTTCAGTTTTTCGCCATTGCAGTATTTCTCAATGCCGGAATATTAATTATATATAGTATATGAAAAGTATGTGAGTGTAAAAAAATAATATAAAATAAAATAAAAATGAAATAAAATAAGTAAATTGTTATTGTTACCAGTCGAATTATTTTTTTTTTTTCAACTTAATATTTTTTCGAATTTTCCATTATTTTCTATTGAACTTTTAAATTTAATGATTAAGTTTTCAACATAAACGTGCGTATTTTGCGATTTTATTTTCAGAAAATTTTGGCAAATAATTTCAAAATTAAATAAAAATTTCTGTTATGTTTATGTCAGTTAGTCATCCGAAAAATGATGCTGTGAATATCTGATATATATATGGTTATCCGTTACGTGGTTTCAAGAGTACAGAGTGGTATTTTGATATTTGCCAAACTTAACTGTCAAACCGTTACTTTTTTTTTGTTAAAAGTCAGACTAATATGAAAAATGAATCGCTTAAAAAACGTTCAAGGCATAAAAAATTGTAAAAATCTGCTCCAAAAATGATGATTGAAATGTAGCCACCTTTCGTGCTTTAAGATGAGATTATGATGCACTTCATATAGTCCAACTACTCAAGCAATTTGTCAAATTTTAAAGAAATTTTGAAGTTATTTTGTTACAGGTATTGTAAGGTCTGTGCATCATAGTTTTGCTAGGTCCACCTCAAATATCGCTGCAGTAAGTGTAGCCAAGGACCCCAATGTGTTTATTTCTCGACCTTCTCAAGAGCTGGGACTTTCTTATGGCATATTATGGCGTTCGTTGCACTTACACATGCCAGCTGCCATTCACAACGCCGTCGTATACCCCGCAGTGGACGTCGATTTTTCGGGGCACATTTCCCATTCGGAGGATACGTAAATAAGCAAAATTGTCGCATTTTTGACCCCAAGAGTCCTAAAAAAATTGGAAAGAGGACATTACACCCAAAAAGACTTTGCTGTCTAGAGCGCTCTGTGGTTTGGAGGTGTGATTAGACCTTACCTCTTAATTGACAATGCGGAGCGTTATTATCATGTGATGACCTACTTTTTCCGGCCTGCAATTGAAGAACACGACTTGGGCCATATATAGTTTCAACAAGATGGTGCCGCATGCTATACAACATGAGCGAATATGGCTTTATTTCGATAGAAATTTTTTCGGCCGCGTAATCTCTCGTCATGGCGATGCGAATTAACCAACGAGGTTCGTGCTTTTTGATACCATTGGAATTATTTTGTGCGACTGTTTGAAACACCGTGCTTAAGTGGATAAACTTTTGACTCTTGAGCACCAATATTTGTCAAGTTATGCATAAGATAACGCTTAATAAGTGCCTAAAAGTGGTCGAAAATTACCTCAAATGGATTAAAGTTTGTTCCAATTCGCGAGAAAGTCATTTGAATGATGTAGTGTTTCAAATCTACATACATATATGTATAATGCCAGGATTCAAACTTTAAAATTAAAAGCGAATTTCATGAAAAGAATAATTTTAACTACATTTTTTAACTGCTAACTTTAAAAATTTGCCAAGTCTATTTGAAGTTGAATCCAATCAATTTAGCTCGAATATTGTAAATTTTATGTTTAAATTATATTAAAAATTAGTAATACTCTTTTTTTAATTTGTCATGATTTTTGAAAATGTGTCATCGCCTTTTTGAAGTTTAAAAATTTTGATTACAGTTTTTCATCTCAAAAAAAAAAAAATGTATTTGTATAGTTTAAACAAAATGCATCGCATATATACAACTACGTACATGGAATCGCACGCGTATATACATAAATATTTATTTTTATACAACTCATTATAGCTGATTAAAGATCAGACGGAATGAAATTCTGTGAAAAATAAATTTGCTTCAATACCCGACTGCCAATAAAAGGATGCATACATATGTACTCGTACAACTTGTTTTGCTTGTATTCTTACGAAAATGGGTTGCTCAAAAAAGAATAAATATTATTTTTGTCAAGTGAAAGAAATTATACACATTTTTTAAATTGAAAACGTATTATAAAGCGAAATTGAGAAATATATTTTTATGCGCATAGGAAAGAGATCTGTTGTTCATTCCACTCAAAATATAATATATTGCATTCATCAATTTGTTGTTTTCCTCCCATTTGTCTCTTTAGTTTTGGAGACAGGAGAAAGTAATAGAGAGATCGAGCCTATTGAATGTGGTGACTGAAGCGGGGTTAGTTAATTCAAATCAAAAAGAAAAGCAAGTTAGGAGTTAGGAAGTTCGTGTAGAGCCGAAATTAGATACTCGGTGATACTCAAATTAAGCGCTTATCTGACTTTCGCGGTAATACTAAAGTCCAGTTGTATGGACGGTATGCTTGTTTGTGAGCCCATGCTAATATTTTATGGCAGATGTTTGAGATTCACTGTTACTATCGTAGGCATACGATAAGAGCAAGGTTTTGTAATGAATTCCTTAAATATTCCATGCTAAGCACGTGGTTGGTTTTAAAGAGAAGGTCTGCTGTATGGAAGGTAGGTCCATTTCTAGATCTATGTCAGCTATTTTTGATAGAAACTTTGTCACCATTGAAAGTAGCATATGTATATATCGTCTGATTGCGCCAAAATTAAATTTGTGCTTAGATCAGAACTAGTGAAATATTATATAAGCATTAAACTATATATAATTGTGTTCCACTTTCAGTGGTTTCTGACATATACTTTATGGCCACGAAGTGTGTGGGGACATGCCCAGCCAAGCCTTTTTTCCATTTAATGCAAGTCTCTAAATTAGAGGGAGGAAGGCATAAATGAGACTTCAGGGCATTTCTGTATGATTTTAGCTAAAACTCGTCTTAATTATCTCAGAGCTTCGCAGTTCATAGGTGTGGAGGAGACCTCAAAATTGTGTGGTAAGGCTTTCTTGAATATCACGAAAGCAATTCGACGGCTACTTTAGACCTTAAAAACAGCGACTTCGTTCTGGCACTATGAAGTAATAACGGGTCTATGTAAGAGGCATCAGCCGGCTAGTGTAACTCAACCTTGTTATTGAATTATTTCGATTTTTGTAATTGTTAAAATTATCGTTATATGGAAAGTGGACATGAACTTGGTTCGATTTCATTCTTCTTAAGGACTTAAAGATTTAAGGAATGTGTGAATAAAATGTCATCAAAATATCTCATTTCTTTCTTATGATATCATGTTCAAAGACGAACGCATGGGCAGACAAACACTGCTAAATCTATTCGCCTCTTAAATCCAGGAATTTTATATGTCCATATCTATAGTTAATTTTTAATCCCCTTACATACAGCCTTTAATTGAACAAATCTACTATACTCTTTGGGCATAGTAGCGCCGATTGTTGAATTACAAACAAGCAAAAATGGGTGAGCATTTATTTCACTCAGAGTTTACTCACCGCGTGCCCCGTAAATTATGCAATTATATAAAGGGATGAAATCTTTTTTTGTTTTAGCATAAATTCCGCGACTAATTACGACCTAACACATTGCTTTAATGCCGAAGTTGAATTTTTTTTGAACCGTAAAATCTTTTAAGGTGTTGCCTCATATGTGAAGTGAACAAAAAAAGCTGAATCAGTTTGGAAAAACTTAAATTTCAATAAAATCACAATCATAAACGAATGCAATTAAATTCTTAGAAAAGTATTTTTTTTTTTGGAAAAAGGAAATTTAAACACTAGAACAAGCGGAATGTATAACCACTTAAAAAGAGTGTTTGGCAATGTTAAACAGCATTTCAAAGGAATTTTTGTGTCGAGAGTAGACGAGACATGGATGGATCACACTATACCAGAGACCAAAAAACAATCAAAGCATTAGGTTTGTCAGGCTGAATGTGCATCGATATTGGCCAAGGTGGGTCTGGAGGCTAATGATGTAATTGGTATACGCGGGATGTGACATTCACATCGATTACCTTGAAATGATAAAACGACCGGCATATATTATTAAAAGCTTACGAGCAGATTCAATATTGATTCGAAGTAGAAACGACCGCATTTGGGGAAAAAAGTGTTGTTTCATTAAGACTATGTGCGGGTGACGTACTGCTACGTCATCTAGTGAATTCTCCAGATATAGCTTCCTACGATTATTTCTTGTTTCCAAACCTGGAGAAATGGCTAAACGGTAAAACATTCGATACGAATCAAAAAGTCATCACAGAAACATAAAGCTGTTTCGAGAGCTTTAAGAAAATACAATTTTTTTGTAAAGAATACAATAATTGGAAATCATTTGACTGAGCTAAAAGTGTACTATGTTGAGAAATAAAAAAAATCTTATTTGCGAAAAAAAAATTATTTTATTCAAAAAGTCAATGTCTTATCCAACCACCCTCATATTACTCAATTTAATGACCTAACCTAGAAAAATTACTACTATTATATAATGAAAAAAAATGACTACTATTATTAAAAAATAAGAAATTATATTATTTTTAATTTTAATTTTTAGGATTTCAAAGAATTTTCGTTATTCAAAGATTGCTTTTAGAACTGGCAAAAATTAAAAAAAAAATTTTTTTGCGCTTCTCTTCGGCGCTTAAAGCCTTTTGTTATTTTCCTTTTAAGCAAGAATACCATTGAAAGATTAAAAATGAAAAATCTTCTCATGGACCATCCATTTCAAAGCCAACAACAACACAGAACAATTTTCACATTACTTTTAATTTTTATTGAATGTAAAAGCTAAGCAGAAAAAAAAAATAAAAAAAAAAATAAAAACAAAAAGTGTAAATGATGCTGAGGAAAAAACCAAATTATCCGCCTTTAGCAACGGATGTGGAGCAAGCAAAGTCGCTCGCCGGCTTCCTTCCTTCCTGCCACACATCGCCATTTGGCAGCTGTTAGCACGCTCGGTTCGGCTGGAGTTGACTTGTGTTGCGCAAAACCTACAAACATTCGAACAATTGGTCAGCCAGTTGGTTGAATTGTTGTTTTTAATTAAACAAACAAGCAGCTTTAAGCTCATATTTCGCTTATTTATAATCATGTGGTATTTAAATATAGCAACAGCAATGCGAAGCAGAATGCATGATGCGAAGAAGAGTGTAGAGAAGAGTTGTAATTATAGTAACGGTATATACACGTACATATAATATGCTATTGCTTGGTGTTTGTGATAATAGTCGTTGAATTGGAATGCGAATGTTTTTGTACTTTTATGTGTGTGTTGATGTATTCTCCTGTTGCAAGCACAGCACTACGATCTCCGGTGAACTTATTGATTTCCAAATTGAATGTATTTAATTAGCGACAGCTGTAATGGCGACTGGCAAAAATTTCACATTTAACTGAAAATTTTCACCAGTAATCAATGCAATTTTAATAGAAAATGTTATCCTTAAATTTATATCACTTTATAAACATATATGCATATAATGAGAGTTTTTGCTAATTTCTACATTATTATTGTAGAAGGAAAAACTGATCCTAATATTTTTATATATAAGTATTTTCGCTTACATACGAGTATATACATTTTTACATATATACGACATATAAAAGGTTTAGAGCAAATCTAGTGGCCGATGTCCAGAGTATTCAGAATTTATGGAGCGAAAACTGGAGAAAAAATTTGCTGAATGTCTCAGCTATAAATGAAATAAAATGTTAATGCTTAATATTTTAATTTTATTTTTATATACTCGTATTTACATATATACATATGATGTATTTTCTCAGGTCTCAATAGCTCTTTATTTTTACAATAATTTACTGCGCTTGACCATATGTTGAATGGTTCCTATAACTGTAGAACTTACATGTATTTATTACACACAAAAGTATGTGTGCATATATGTACGGGTATATGCTTATCACTCTACAAAAACAATTAAAAAAATAAATTCCTTCATTAACCACTTTTTATTTGGTTGCTTAATAACTATAGTGGGGAAAACAAATAATTGTTTAATTTATTTTAAAGCACAGCAATGCCAATTTGGGTGCTATTGTTTATGTTTTGGTATTTATATAGATTATAAAATTACAAAAATAAATACCTCAAGGCTGAAAGAAAAGCTGCTTAAGTCTCTTGATTTAATTGATCGGTGTTGATATACAATTTAATCTTTAAAAATCTAGAGCATTCATTGTAATTTTACAAACATATATGTATATATGTGCTATTTAAATACTGGACATTTAAACTAAATATATACAATATTTTAATGAATTAAAAAAAAAAACAATATAAAATAAAATAATATAAAACAAAATAAAATAAATTTAAATAATAATAAAAAAATAAATAAGATAAAATAAAATAAAATAAAATAAATTAAACCAAAATAAAATAAAATAAAATAAAATAAAATAAAATTAAATAAAATAAGATAAATTAAAATAAATTAAAATAAATAATATATAATAAAATAAAATTAAAATTATATAAAGATATAAAATAAAATTAAATTAAAATAACCAAATAAACTAAAATAAATTAAAAAAGAAATAAATTAAATACCAAAGAAAAAGAAATAAGATAAATGAAATAAAATATATAAGTAAAAAAATAATAACAAATAAAATAGAATAAAATAAACAAAATAAAAAATAAAAAATTAAAATAAAAAAAAGTAAAATAAAATATATTTAAATAAAATGAAATGAAATAAAATAAAAGAAAAAAAATTAAAAAAGTAATTAAAATTAATCAAATTAATTAAAATAATAAAACGATTGATAATGAATAATAAAATTATATAAACTGAATTAAATTGAATTAAGCTAATAAACGTAAGCATAAAAAGTTGGCAAATTTTTTAAGTGATTTCATCATTTTAAACTTTAATTTATTAAACTTCAGTTTTGTAATGTTAAAAAACATTCAATGGGAAATTAAAAGCATTAAAAGAAGAGGGTATTCTACGCAAAAAAATGAACTTAATTTTGCTACCGCATTATGTATGTGTATTTTTTACGCTTAGCTGGATTTATAAATAATCGCCGTCAATTAAAAAATAAAATATAAACCCATTGTTTATTCACACAAAAGTTAATGCTTTAAATGATTTCTTTTCGTTGCTGTTGTTGCTGTAACTTTGGCAAGCAAATATATCATTTTCAATTTTAGTTTTTCAACAAAACTAAATGCCTGGCATTAAATCACATCATAACAAATTTAATTTCAAATTTAATCTACTTTTCTCTTGCAATTGATTTTTTTTCCGATTTAATTTTTAATTTTTTTGCTTTCATTGGAAAAATGTTAAAAGCTGTTTATGCAAAATAAATGTCTGCACAACAAATTAATATCTTCAACGTTGTGATTTCATGTTTAATACAACTTTTTTCTCTTCCATTTATGTGTGTGTGTACGTGTATGTATGTATATACATAGGTTTGCTCTACGAGTTTTTTTGCTCATGGCGTTGTGATGGGTAAATATTCAGAAATTTCATATGTACATATATTTATATATATATGTACATATATGTGAATATATAAATTGCTTTAATAAGCCTTGTGTCATTCGCAAATTATGTGGAATAAGTGGAGTACATACATACATACGAGTATATTAAAATTTATATGCGTGTTAAGCATGAGAGAAATACCTATAAATATGCTTTTGTAGGATAATGTGCATTTTATCAATAAAACGGCATTTGTATTGCACTGAAATCTCTTACGTAATTATTAAATATGATATTTATGTTTTTGTGAATTTGTGATTATTTTAGTGGGTGCTCTCTAATTGTTTTGGGATTTACATTTATAAGAATTTTCGATGGGGCGTTCAAAAACAAATAATAATTACAAACTATTTGGGTATATTTTTCAATTTCATTAAAGAATTATTTTTTTTCGTTAAATAATTTGAAAACAGTCATATTTTATCCCATAGCCCTTGCCATAGAAAGCAAAAAAAAAAGAATATATTCAAGAATTTTGGGTTATTTTCATTTAAAAAATATTTCCTATTTATTATTATTTTGTTTTCTTATTAAAATTTAAGTAATTTTCTCATTATTTGCAGAATTTCGAACCTGTCGCATATCCCAGTAAATACTATGGAAAGTTCTACGAAGGGGATTCGTATATTATTTTAAAGGTGAGTCAAATAAAATTTAACTGTATTTATGAGCGAAAATCTGTAATCTTTTATCGATATCAGCTTAGAAATATTTAACTTATTAAAAAACATGTACTAGAATCCTTTAAAGGTCAAACGCGTGACGTGTGTCTCTATGTTTTTCTTCTAGTTTAGTCTAATCCGCCTCCAAACGGCTAATAAAATTCTCATTTCATATCAGAAGCGCCCTCGGAGTGATTGACATTCCTTGCCATACAAAAATACTCCATATTTTGCTGAAACTTTGCAAATATTTTTTATCCACTTTTGCAATTTCGTTTACTACTTCCTCAATCCTCGCCGACTGTGATTGATTGACTGATTCAGAATTTCGCTGAGAACTGTAGGTCTTTTCAGAAAATAGCGTAAATTGAAATTCACTAGTTTTTTTTTTAAATATTATTTGGAAATGTTTAGTGTAATTTTTTTTTGACAGCAGAAGAGCTTCTCTAGTTAGTTGTCCAAAGCAAAGAATGAAGTTGAATATAAAGTATGTCCTGTTCTAAGTGCAACTGGTGAATAAAAGTAGCAGCCCAGCTGGAGAGTGCTGCTTAGTCGTATAGACGCGGAGAAATTATTCTAGGTATGCAACGATATATGTTTTACTATCAGGTGTACAACTTTGCTTCCGCCGTTTTCCGATAGGTGGCTGTACCGGCTGAGGCTGGTTGAAATATATAGATGATAATGCCTTTAAAGTGAGTGTGGACAGTGCCTAACGAATTGTCATCGCCGTTTCAGTGACAGTTGTTCTTGTTTTTGTATTATTCACGCTCGAAAATGTCCGTTTACTTTTCTGTTACAATTCGAAAAAAAATGCAGCTGAAGCGCATCGAATGCTCTCAGAAACTTACGGTGATGCTGATCTCAGTGAAAGAACGTGTCGGGAGTGGTTTCAACGTTTTAAAAATGGTGATTTCGATGTCGAAGACAAACATGGTGGTGGAAGGGAAAAAACCTTCAAAGATGAACAACTCGCTCTTAAAACCGGGTGAAACCATCATAGGAGATCACTACCGAACGCAACTGATGTGCCTTAGTCGCGCGTTAAAAGAAAAGCGCCCACAATATCAAGAACGACATGACAAAGTCATCCTTCAACACGACAATGCTCGGCCTGACGTCGCAAAAGTGGTCAAAAAGTACCTGGAAACGCTGAAATGGGAAGTCTTGCCCCACCCACCGTATTCCCCAGTTGTCGCCCCTTCTGACTTCCACCTATTCCGTTCGATGACACACGGCCTGGCAGATCAACATTTTCAATCCTTCGAAGAATTGGAAAAATGGATTGGTTCATGGATAGCGTCAAAAGAGGATACCTTTTTTCGAGCCGGGCTCCGAAAATTGCCGGAAAGGTGGGAGAAAGTTGTCGCTAGCGAAGGACAATACTTTGAATAATATATCTGTAAGCACTTTTTCGCAATAAAGTTTTTAATTTTGGAGGAAAAAACGTTGAAAGCAAAATTGTACACCTGATAGTATAAATTAGTGTTTCGCAGACCCCTGAAGTAATCTGTCATCAAGCCGACTGCTAAGAACTAAAGGTGTATTTCTTAACTTCTAAAAGTTATAGTTTCTCTCTCGAACCCGAATTAGTATGTCACCTACGCTAGAAACCCCATACCACTTGAAGCCCTTGACTACATTTGATTATTGTTTGCCTACTCTGCTCGTAAGCAATAGTAGTAGTCTCCTTAGGAGCTCTGGAGCCCGAAAAAGCGTTTTTCAGCATTTTTTTTAAGTGAATGAAATTATTGCGGTAAACGAAATTTTCTGACAATAATATACTATGTTTAAGCTTTTCAATTTTTTAAAAATTTTCGTATAAAAGAATATTGAAAATTTCCAATGTTTTGATGAGTTTTCTGCAGCCTGAACTCGCAGTCTGAACTCGTGAAACGGTGCCGGTGATGGAGGTTTTAATTTTTAGGGGTGTCTCCTCTATAAGAACTAAAGAAATACCGAAGAGGTTGGAAAACTTCAAATTTTTTTGAAGTTTTGAAAAAAATTCATTTCAGAAAAAAGTTCAAAAGCTCAACTTTATGCAAAGTTCAAAAAAAAGTTTAAATAAAGCTTTTCTCCAGCTTTTTTATTGTAGTTCAAATAGAAAATAATTTAATACTGAAGTTAGATCACTTTAAATATCTCCGATTGAACATATCTTTTTGCTGTCACCGGCAACATTTTCGAAGGCTTAAAAACTGAAAACTCCATAAAATGCTCTTCAAAGCTCTTCACGAGCATTTGAACCTGCTCGACGCTCGGCAACTAAAACTGTCTTGGCTTCCAAAATATATTTAACTGGCAACTGAAATTTTGAAGACATATTCTTGAATAGTTTTAGAATAGATATAGGAAAAAAAAGCATTTATTGAAATCTCTAAGGCAGACTACTGCCTTAATGTTGGTCAGTATCTAAATCATGCACACTTGGCAACTGACGCTTTGAGCAAATTGAGCTTTTCGAGGGGGGTTTTTCAGGTGTTGAATTAAAGACAGCAGAATTATTGTTCCTTTTGCTGATGATGTCAGTGAAAACTTTTCGAATATGGAAGCGAGAAGTACGGTTATTTCATTCTATGTCAGAGATTAAATCCCACCGTGACCGAATCGATTTAAGTTCAAAAGATATAACCTTCTATAAGAACGTATAAGCGCTGTCGTAAGCGGATGATATTTGCCTCAACAGCCGGGCAGTTAGTTCTGCTTTCTTTAGATAGATTTGGTAGCAAAGGAGGGCAAAATGAAATAACTCCAATCATCAAACACATAGTCAGCATACTTGCGTTTAGCTGGAAGCAAGCGGAAAAAGAAGAAGACCACGACGCCGCTGGAAAGATGAGATAGAGCGCGACCTGTTTTTCTTTGGTATTTTCAATTGGTACCACGAAACAAATGTTGCCCTTTTTTAATTGAAGAAAAAGACACGAATGCTTAAATTTCGAATCAAAAAAATTCTGCCACACTTCGAAACTCTTAACCATTTTGAAGTTAAGGCTATTATGCCTCTCTCATAGAAACTATTGTACCTTTGGGCAAATAGTTTCATAAATAATTTTTCACAGGCTTCTCTTGATATCAATTCACCACCAGCATGGACAAGAATAGATTGTGATCACTTGTGGTGATGTCCGAACTATAAGGTGGATGTGTAACTGAACCCAGAGCTACTGGCGGGTCACTATCGATGTTTATGGTCTGGCTATGTTGTAATGAAACAGATTTTTCCTTCTGTTGGCCATAATAGCTCCCAGCTTTTTCTGGGCGAATACTTCTTTAAGACATTCCAATCGCTGAAAATATTAAGAGAGCAGCATGTTGTGAATGATTCTTTCTCAATCGTACCAAACACACATCAAAACCTTTCCGGTCGTCAATCATGGCTTGGTTTTTTTTTTCGTTAATCCATGCGGCACCCATATATCGAGCTTCTTTGAGTCTCCAGCGTTTTTCAACAGAGTGCTTTCCAGTTTTTTTTTTGTGCAATCTTTAGCTTCTAGGCAATCGAAACAGTAATCTCTTGATGGTCAGACTCGATGATTTCCAATAATTTATCGATATTTTCGTATCGATCGTACAAAGTGCTTATTTGTCAATCAGAATTACCAGAACGAAGTTGACGAAACCAAAGTTGATTGACTGTTCCAGTATCTGAATCAGAAACAAGTTTCACATTTTCAGCTACTGACTGGACTGCGTTTTCGTCTGCGTAGAGTGTAACACATTTTCCCTTGTCTGGTGCCCATCTTTGACAAGCGCTCAAACACTACTGTGTTAAGTCATCGACACATTTCTCGTTCTCATTTTTTAGTACAAAATATCATCTTTCTAAAACCATCTAGGGTAATCCAATAACTTTCGCGAAAATAATGACTAACCCTTGACTTAAACTAATATTTTTGTGTGTTTTCTGGCTCTGTTAAGACATTTTGGAGTCTTGACTTTCGTTCGTTTAAAGTCCGTTTTGATTACTTATAGCATTTTAGCTATTTTTCCAGTGATCCTCATTGATAGTTTGCATATTTTGTCCATTTAAACAAATGTTATAATTTTACAATTTGGTCTAAATTCCGTTTATCTGAAAACTCTTTCTTTTGGAGCAAAGAATTAGTTCAATACAGTTATTTAAATACTACCCTTAGCACAATCTATAAGCACAATTCACATAATTTTGCGATTTTAACCACAAAGACTTGTCATAATTCTGCGCTTAAGTAAAAGCTTTTGCCCATCATTTGCCCCTATAAGCATGCTTCTAAATAAATATGCATAAAAATCTATTTACATAAACATCTCTCTCCCTCTCTCTCTCTCTCTTTCGGCCATTCGCTCCCTCTCTTATGCATTTCTAATGCAAGAATGCAGTTATTTTTCTTCAATTACCACTATTTCTTTGCTCATTAGGAGTAATGTCAAAATTGTTGTTTGGAAACTTGAATTTTCCAATTGGAAACTCATTCTCAACTTTACACCCAAGAGCCCCAACAAAAGGTGAACATACGCAAAGCGCAAAGGGAGGCGGGGAGACTATGAAATATGACTATGAAAGTATGTGCCCTTGTGTAAAAGCATACTTATTCACTTTTGGAAAATAGAAAAACTTTAAAGTTCTTTTGTGGAAATTTGTCTTGCCAACGTTAGTGCACCGGCAAACACTGCTGCTGGAGCTACAAATTTTGTTCTTGTCATTTTTTTTGCATTTACTTTCTTACCAAACACTTGTTATTGTTGTTTTTTATAACTCATTTGTGCAATTTTCTTTACACCTGCCACACACACACACACACACACACACACACACACACACACACATACGCACACACACATACTTTAGACCACCGAAGACCCCCAGAGCCAAAAACTTTCGTGGGACATTCACTTCTGGTTAGGCGCTGAGACGACCACCGACGAGGCTGGTGCAGCGGCCATATGTACCGTACAACTGGACGACCAACTAGATGGCGCACCGGTGCAACATCGCGAAGTTCAAGATCATGAATCACAATTGTTTCTTAGCTACTTTAAAAATGGTAAGTTTCTTTGGTGAGTTCCGCTGCTGCGAGCTGAGCTCTGCCGCTGCCAAAGTGAAAATTACGCATTAAAAACTTTTCACTCGACCAAATGAGGCGCGTTGCACTTTGCAGCACTGTTGATGTGGTAGCAGCTGTGGTTGCTGTTGGGGTGGTGGTGGTGGTGGTGGTGCTGGACAGCGTAAAGTTCGCTTTGGCGGCTAATGGCAGCTCTCACCGGCAACTCAATGCAAATATAAATTGCGTTTCACACAAAACTCCATGAAATTGCACTTCTCACCATTCATCTCATACTAACATACATGCACACATATAAATAAACCAACGGCAGCAGCAGCAACAGCAGAGCTCACTTGCAACTCCGGCAAGTTTTGTTGGAGTACGTGGCGTGCGCCCGCATAAGGGTTTGTGTATTGTGTGGTTCATTGACGTGTCTAATTAATTTGCATTATCATCTCTGTATGTGTGTTTGTTTGTGTATTTATTTAGGTGTACGTTACGAGAAGGGCGGCGTTGCTACCGGTTTCGAGCATGTCGATGTGAATGCTGCTGGGGAAAAGCGCCTCTTCCAGGTGAAGGGCAAACGCAATGTGCGGGTACGTCAAGTAGAGCTGTCCATAAGTTCGATGAATCGCGGCGATTGTTTCATTTTGGATGCGGGCGAAGAGATACTCATTTATGTGGGTGAGCAGGCGAAACGTTTGGAGCGTCTGAAAGCTATTTACGCGGCAAATGAAATACGTGATCAGGACCATCATGGACGTGCGAAGGTGAACATTGTTGGTGAGTAACCGAAAATTATTGCATTATGCATTGTATGGAACGGAAAGTAAGGAAAGATGTTCGGCGCCAATAATAAGTTGGTAAACGCATAGTAGAAACGACAGAAGAGGAAGATGGCAGGTGAGAATATTAAGCGAAGGGTAGTAAAGGAAAGCGAAAAAATAAATAAGCTAGTCAGAAGAGGCTCCTAACGACAAACCGGCATAACTCCTGACTTACCTTCCGAGGTTCCAATATCGATACGTCCAAGAGGTATGGTTAAATGAAAGTGAAACTAGAGTTCTCAAGGAGCCCAGGAAGGGTTTTAAAGGTCTGTTATAAACGAAGTGTAGAAGGTTTACTACACCACTTTTCGTCTTTGCGCATCTATTCAGAGCACACATGGCTTTCGAGCATGAACTCATGGGAAAAATGGGTTTCTTTCAGTCCACTCTAAGGAAGTGAGAGAATAGAGACCTTCCACTTCTTAACAAAGCTTTTCAACAGTTTGTTACCTGATCTGGCAAGAAGTTGCCATCTTATCCCACTTTGAGGGATATTTTAAGGGTAACTCCTTGTGACTACAGATGCGGTTGTATCGAGCTATCTATTTATCTTCCACTGATAATTTTGACATATGAAAGGGAGCTCGAGATTGCGGAGCGCATCCCAGGAGAGAGAGGTTTTATAGTATAGACCTATTTCAGGGTCTGACTTATTTAGCGACTTGGGGTGACATCCTTGTTTTTCTCTTTGTGTATAAAAATACAGCTGAAGCATATGAAATAGCTAAAGAAACAGCAAGAGTCAGTTAATCTACAAAAAGAGAAATATTTTGTTGTCATAATTGTATTATTCTCAGTAATTCTCACAGTTCTTTACTCCCCCCTCCCCACAGACAACTTCTCATCTGATTTCGCCAAGGAGCATTTCTTCGCTACACTGGGTTCAGGATCCGCTGAGGAGGTACCCGATGAGACTACTGACGAGGAGGATGGAGCCTTCGAGAAGGCCGACATCGAGGCAGTCAAGCTGTACAAAGTCAGCGATGCAAGTGGCTCACTGGAAATTGAGCAAGTGGCCGAAAAGCCGCTGGTGCAAGAAATGCTTAGCACAGATGATAGTTTCATACTCGATACTGGTTGTGGCATTTATGTGTGGGTTGGACGTGGCTCAACACAGAAGGAGAAAATCAGCGCAATGAAAGTTGCGGAACATTTTTTAGAAAGCAACTCATACCCGACGTGGACGCAGGTACATCGGGTTGTTGAGGACGGCGAACCGGCGGCTTTCAAACAATACTTCGCCGCTTGGCATGATCAGGGCTTGCATCACAAACGATTGTTGCGTACCGCTTTGGGCTACAGCACCGACGATTCGGATTACGAAGAGCCAGCAGATGTTGTATCTGCTGTAAGGAATCTGAAGAAGAGCGGTGGACGTGCTATGGCTTTCATGCCCGACAATGGCGAGCAAGATATTGAGCACATTATCAAGTTCAGCTCGGAATCGGATGATGATGTGGTGCGCAGTATAGTCGATTTCGAGGGTACCACACCTCTGATCGGTCATTTTGCTTATATTATCACCTACAAGTACAGTGCGAAGAGCGGTGAGTCGGGGAAACTCATTTACGTGTGGGAAGGTGCAAAGGCTAGTGAGGCGGTCAAAGAGCGTTCATTCAATGACGCGCTAGCGATGGCACAGGAAGAGAATGCAATTTTAGTGCGCACAGCACAAAACTATGAACCACGTCACTTTTTGAAGATTTTCAAGGGCAAACTCATTACACCCTACACTGAGGAGCCGAAAGGACCACAACTGTTCCGTGTGCGTGGCACAGATCCAACTGATGTGCATGCCAGCGAGGTAGAGTGTGTCGCCTCGTCGTTGGACTCGGATGATGTCTTTGCATTGATCACGTTGGATCATCGTGTTTTCATATGGGTTGGAAGTGTAAGTTGAAATAAATGTTTTTGAAAAATTTTAACGAAAATTTGTTACACAGGGTGCCTCTGACTTTGAGAAAGAATCAGCAAATGAACGCTTTGCAAACTATTGGCCGTACGGTAAGACAGAGGTGATACACGAAGGTTCCGGGGCAACGGAATTCTGGGAAGAGCTGTTGGGTGAGAGTGCGTATGAAAATCGTGTGCATAAACCGCGTGCGCCACTACTAGAGCCACGTCTATTCCACTGCCAGTTGGTTGCTTGGCGCACGAAGGTAGAGGAGGTGCGCGACTTCGAGCAATCGGTGGGTGTTTGGGGACTGAAATTTAGTTGAATTTTATCTCACTATATACATATGTACTTTCTCATTTCCGGGCAGGATCTGGATATTGATGACATAATGCTGCTAGATGCGGGCGATGAAATTTACATGTGGGTCGGCTCAGGCGCTTCGGCGGAGGAAAATGCCAAAATCCTACATATGGCAAAGGTTTGTGGTTCACTTCCAAAAATATATATGAAGAATAAAGATCCCCATGGTATGCCTTCTTTACAGAAATACATCAAACAGGAACCTACCGACCGTACAGTCGATACTGTCAGCGTTATTCGTATTACGCAGGACAATGAGCCGCGTGTATTCACACGCATGTTCCCTACCTGGGACAAAGATTACTGGAAGGTTAGTGGACTGGCATAGATTAGCACACGCTATTGTTTTATATCTTAAATGGCTGCTTTATAAGTTTGCTTTCTTGTTGTTGTTGTTTTGGCTTTATGTGTTTGTATTTTAAGTTTTAGGTATTAAATAATTATGTGTACCGAATTATTACAAGTAAACCATCGTAAGTATTAAATAAAAATTTAAATTTTAATATATATATATATTATAATTTGTCTATACGAGCCTGATCGGACTACTCTAACATAGTGTAAATGACCGGGTTTTCAACACATCCCCATAAAAACCATCAGCTGCTCGAAGGCGACTTAGAATAAACAGGTAAACTGTAAGTCCATCCATTTGTTGGAAAAACATCAATATGCATACCATGAATTGGAAGAGGTTCTCGAACGAAAATCGCTCCATCAGCTACCAAACGTTAATTATATACATTAAGTCCACAATGTTCTCGGAAATTGTCATTTAAACTGCACACGCTAAATATTTTTCAGTACTTCTTTTCATTAAGTTGGTAGCACTGTCCTTAATTACTATGCCAAAAATGAGAGCAGCTGTTGAAATCATTCGACTTCAGTTCCCCCTGCGAATTTTCTTTTACGGCCTCAATCAAGCCGAAACGGGTTCCACGGAGGCGTAACTTGTTTGGAAATAAAAAGAGTCAAATGGCGACATCCGATAAATACGGTGGTTGATCGATGGCATTGAACAACTTTTTGGTCTTAAAATCGTTCACAACAACAGCACGATGCGATGTCGTATTATCGTCTTGAAAGTTTCCGGAAATTATTGGTCCACATTCCGGTCGTTTACGACGGATGTTCTCTCGCAAACGCCCCAAAATACTCAGATAATACTCTTCACTGGTCGTCTGTCCCGTCGGAATGAATTCATCAAGAACCAAACCTCAAATACCAAAAAAAGAAGAAAATTCCCGAAACTTCCTGATCCCAATGTATATATTCAGCCCAAACGAAGATAAACTGTCTTATTAAATTATTAAAAATTTCAGAAGACTCATGCGATAAAAGGAAAAAGTCTAGTTACTTTTCTGGAATAAGTTTATCTACCCATTTACTATGGTACATTGCAGAAAATATCAGATTAAATTTTCCAATTTGCAGCAGAATTAATCTGACTTCCGAGTTACAAGGAAATTTCGAATGGTTAGGTTAAAGAAGAAGATAAAATTTTTAGATTTACTTGTCAAAGATTTAATACGTAATATATATAGCAAGAATATAGGAGAACGTTGGAAATATCTTATAGTAATCTAGTAAGCATAATTGAACTCCATTTTCCCAGGACTCTATTTCCCCTGGCATCGAGTAGGTGCTGCTCGATTTAATTCGAAATTATGCTTTCCATTATTAAAGATAGATGTTCAACCTTTGGGGACCTATCATTAAGGCTGATATATGCACAAGGATGTATTTTTCATTTGCGGAATGAGTGAGGTTTTGGGGGTGATTAGACTAAAAAGGGCACGTTCAATGACTAATGTTATCATACAATTAATTTTTGAATGGAGCCACCCCCACATCAAAAATAAGCACTTCTAATGAGTGGTAATATTTAGTAGTTTCATTATATTCAGCCTCAGCTCCCCACTTACTGACGATGCTTACCCAAAGTACACGTGGGACATGAGGAACATATTTTAAAATGGTTTCAAACTCAAACTAGGAGCACATTATTTTTTAATTCTGCATTACCCAACTCATGCTGGACCGAACCAGTGTAGCACCTTCGCAATAAGTGGAACAATCAACATATCGCTGATGAAGAATCAGCGTCAATACGGACCACGCTGACTCAATAATTATTAGGGCCCCCAGAGATATGTAATAAGCTAGTTTAAAATATGTTTATGTAGAAAAAGAGTGGTCTACTTAGTATAATATTGAGTAAATATTTCTTGATCGAAAAGAGAGAGCGAGAGTCAATCTAATTAATATTTAAAAAATGAGCATTGAAATCACTACAAACACTGCTGATAGATTCAAACATTTCAAAACATTTTTTGCCTACATGTGCTCGTTATGAGGCGCTTAAACCAGTCTGAAGTCTCTTAAAGGAATATTAAAGTGAATCTCTGGAAGATATTACTTTTTTTTTGAAAGGGAAATTATAATTTATTCAGAAACATTTTTAACCAGCGCTAAGCTTTCATAGGAGTAACTCTATAACACTTATTTTTTCTTTAATTTCTACTCATTTTTCCACACTATTTCTGAAATACAAACTCAAGTTTCTTGGAAAAAGTTTCAAATGTATTTCAAAACGGCGGTTAAAAGTTTTTAAAAAATAATTATGGATTGTGATACGATATGCATTTCTTATAGTTAATCGAGAGTCATTTAGTTCTTATTTTTCTAAAGCTGTCGAAACGTTCGAGATTTATACCGTTGTCAGCAGAACATTGAACGGAGTTTACTTTGTCGGCTCCGGCTATTCATTTCGTCTGAATGAAAACCATGCTCTCAGTTTTCGAAATATTTCAACGAAAATTGGTATGCAGATGCATTTGTTGAATTTATGATGAATCATTTGCCAAACCCAGACAGATTGAAAGACTACAACATATAAACCCCATACAAAATATTGTCTACACATGCATTCGTGATTTTCTCCGAAAAATATTATCTCTAATGAAAAACAAACCCCTACCGATATGTGTGATCTACAGTTGTCTTGTTGAAACCCAGTTTTCCTTATGTTGGCCAAACTACGCGCTTCTTGGCGATTGTTTTCTTCAGACGATCCAATTGCTGAAAGTACAGATACGAATAGAAAGTTTGGATGTAGGAGATCAGCTCATAGTTAATGATTCCTTGCCAATACCACCAAACTCATAACAAAATCTACCTGGCCGTCAATCCGGGCTCCAATATTATTTTCGGTGCCAGTTATTTTATTATATTTTTTAGTACAAAATATTATCTCTCTAATGCCATGTGGCGTAATCCAATCGCCTTTATAGAACTCAAGCTACAAACCACTAAAGCCATTGATTGCATAAATAATGGATTACTTTTTACTAGGACTAATATTAAGAAGTTCGAATCAAAATCCTGAGTGAAAAGTATTTTTTTTGTATAAATAAATCAATATGTAATAATGCAAACATTTTCATGCTTAAAAAAGTCCAACACTGTAAATACTTAGAGCACACGGTGTACATATATATTTTTTTAAATTCAAAGCTTTTTTCGCACTAAAAACTCTAAAATTGCATGTTGCAACACTAATGAAAACTAACAAACCAAAAATCGGGTAGATTGAAGAAATAATGGAAAGAGAATACATTAATGGTGCGCATAGAGCAAGTTCTGAAATAGACAGCGGTGCCATTGGGGACGGCGACAGTGTATCTGACAAATCGTTACATGAAAAATCCAGTGAAGAAGACACGGGAAGTGAATATAGTGACGTTTTACGAAAAGCAAGTTCCGAAATCAACTCAGGTCCCATTGATGTTGTAGAAAGTGTATCTGAGAAAGCGATTGAGGGAAGGCGTGTAAGAAATGGTTATCAAGAATTCTACCGGGTTGTAACGTTGGATGTGAAAAATGCATACAATACAGCAGATTGGGAACAAATAATTGCCGCCATACAAGAAAAACAAGAAAACAAAAGGTATTTCGATCAGATAATTTATTAACGGTACCATGAAAAATATCAAAAATAACATAAAAAAAAAATATATATATAAATAAACAAATAAAAAAACATCTCTGACAGCGACAGCAGCGAATACCTCGAAGCTGCGGATGGCATTGACGGCATAGAAGGTCAAATACTAAATCAAAATCATTGGGACGCCATAAGTGGTGCCATTATACGGCAGAGAAATCCGAAAGTAGCAACACTTGTGGGCGCAGCCGATGACATAGCATTGGAGGTGATCAAGAGGCATTTAATCGATGTTGAGACTGCCAGCAAAACAGAGGTGGTGCTGGTACAAGATTGGCTCAATTCTATTGGTATGCAATTGGGTGAAAAGAAATCCGACGCGGTACTCAAGTCGCGCGTAAAGAAGATCGAGCAGGAGCGTGTAAAGGAAGGTAATCTTCTGATGAGAGCAAAACCGGAAATTGGTTACCTCGGTCTATTATTGAATACGAAGTTGAAGTTTGATCATCATCTACAATACACTGACAAGTATATGCCAAAAACTAGTTTGGGCTCAGCAAAAACCCTATCAGATATGAGTGCTTTGAAGAAAATGTATTTGGTAATGAATGTCTCAACAGCAGCGTTGCTCTATCCATCAAGCCGTCCGGAACATGGTTTGAAATTGGTTGTGGAGACGAATTATGATGTTGAAAGAAAGTTACTTTCTGGCAAGAATGAAGATATACAAGGCGAACAGCCATTAGATAATGAAGAGGCTACTGATTATGTGAATGTTGTGTTGGTTGACGAGCACAAGCGTTGGAAAATGCGACGCACAGAAAGTCTGCCAGATGTCGCTCAGTTGGAATGAACTTTCTTGTTTTTAAATTAATATATATTAATAGCAAAAGAAATGGTATTTAATAATATTTTTTTCTTTTATTACAATTCTAAATAAAAGAATATTTCTTTCATATTTCACTAGTAACTATAACTAAACAGTTAATATTTTTGAAATATAAATAAAACAGCTTCATGTTTAGAAACGTATAGTAGATTAGTTGTTCAATAATAAAATTTATCCAACTCCTCCAAAAACACGCTTTCTGTTGAAAACATATCAGATTTTTTTCGTTCAAACCAGAGATGGTAATCATTATGAGTTTTATCAAAAACTCGATTTAAAATCATTAATCAGTAATTTAAAAATTCCTAATCATTAATGATTTTTAAGATTTTAGATCAGATTCAGTTTTTTCTTTTCGATTTTTGTATTATCGCTCGGAAGAATTGCTTATATCTAAGCTTTACAATTTTCTTATCGAAAATAATCATAATATTGATATATAAATTTATTTTATTTCAAAATTAACGATTCACTTTCGATTTTTTTTTTGGATCAATAATAAAGAGAAACAATTTTTTAATCAAGTATTAAGATTATTTTGTTTTTTTCGGTCTTAGCGCGATTCTAATAAATGGCAGATGGTAAAATCACCTATGAATGAACTTTAAATTAACATCAAATTGAAATCCTTGATTATTTCGATAGAAAAGTTCTCCGAATTCGACAAAATTGGCATCACTGAAATCACTGCAGAATCGCAAAGAGCGTCTAGAAATATGACCGAATTACATATAGAACGAGCTACCAATGCTATTGTGGAAGTTTTTGATTTTTTCCCTTAAAAAATCAAGAATAATAATTATTTCTGATCCCTGGTTTGAACTGAAAAGAAAAATCATTTTTATTAAACCATATTTTGTGAATAGAGAACTAAGTATAGTATACCCTAGTATGAGGGCATTATAGTATATCTCCTGATTTGGAGCTGCTTTCAAACCCAAGTTTAATTCTTCTGATAACCCTTTCATAACTTCATTTCACTGGTTAAAATATTAGAAATATAATATTAAAAAAAAAATAATAATAATGATAACAAATATATGTATCAAGAAGAAATTGTGGAAAAAATTTGGCCGAGCTGTAAGTATTTATTTTTCCTTTTTAAAATCGGAGTACCCCTTCAAAAGTATACCTCAGCATTTTACTGCAAATTGAGAAAAAGAATTATAAACTATTTCTGAGGATAGAGACGTAGAGTCAATTCGCCGACAGCGACTTCTAGCTAGAGATGCACATGAACACCTATGAAATTTGCTTTAGTAACCATATACGGAGGGTCATGGGTTCGCATGGGTAGCCAGACTACATCCAATATTTCATGAAAAATTTACTAATATTGTATTTAACATTTTCTAAATTTTCCAGCACATATAAAAATACCTCAGCATACCACAATTGGAGGTGGGTCTCTGTATCTTTTGTTATGAAGTGTCATTTATATATTAAATTATTACGGAGAACAATAAACAGATCAGTGATGTTGATACTTACTGAATTATTATCGCAAAAAATATCGTTAATGCATCAACATTGAATAAAGGCTGAGGTTAGGTTAGGTCCAGTTGTAATGACAACACACAGTTACACTTAGGCTAGTGTAGGATAATTGCAATACCACGGTGTTTAACAGATCATAAAGTTTCACTGCCCATCCATTTTGAATTTTAAAAAATTTATAAATTTCATTAGATAATTTATTTTGATATCTGCTATTCATACAATGATCAAAGCAGCTCCTAGATATTTCTGTCTAAGGCAGTTCTTGCTCCTCATAGTTTTTACTGCTTCTTTTGAAGAGAACTTCTAGCTCGCCGCATGATGTCTTATTAAGTAGTGACTAGTTAAGACTCCTACAATGTAAAATATGTCCTCTCTTTCTTTCAGAAGTTATACTTTGCGTGACCTTTTTCGGTCCCATTTCAGCTAAGTTTGTCTTGAAATTCTGCAAGTAGCATTGTTTTTCCATTCTGATTCCACTGACTCATAAGTGAAGTCTTTCAGTAGCAGTTTGCATAGAGCAAAAAGGCAAGCGTTCTCTGTCGAGAAAAATCTGCTTAATCGTGCCTAGCCTAGTAAGTACACCTGCCTTGCAATTTCCTTCTATGTCCCGGGAACTAAAAGGGATGCAAACCTGTTCTGTTTAGCTATCTGCTGCATATATTGATGATGGTCTAGCAAAATTTTTGAACTCTTTGCAAGCGAACTCAGTGACTTGCTAGTGAGTTTAATTCCAATGTTATTTGCTGCCTCCATATTGAGTGAAATTTCAGCCCGAATAGATTGATGAAGACCAAGTTCCTCTAAAAATAGTTAAAAAAAAAAAAACAACGAAATTTCCTTTCTCGTAAATTGCTAGATAATACTCTTAAAAATAATAAAGATTTAGTCCTGGAAGTCCGCAACACTAAGAAGTAAGTATAGCGCCTTTTCTCGAAACCTCGTTATATACACATAATTACATATATATATTTTCTTTTTTTATACTTTATTTATTTAAATACGCCCATTTGAGATTCATGTAGAGTGAAGCGATTTTGGTGTCTTGACCGAAAGGCATTTAACGGTTTAAACTTAAAATTACAAATAATCGCTACAAACACCTGCATAAACAGCACAAAACAATTTCTTTTTTCTACAATATTCTCATTTGAATCCATTTGTCGAAGAAAAATAGTACTAAATAATATTTATTAAAAAAAATAATTTTAAATTTAATTCAGAAGTTGAATTTAGGTCATGCACAGTAGAATCTAATAATAATAAAAAAATTATTAAAAGGGAAATTAAAAAAAAAAATAATTTTTTAATTAAAAAAATTTTAAAATTAAAAAAAAAATCAAAAACAAACTTTAAAAAGAATAAAAAAAAAATTACAGAAAATTGAAGCAACAAAAATAAAAAAATTGATATAACAACATCTAGAAAAAAATATTAAGAAAATACAATACAAAGAAAATGCTTGCAAATAAAAAAAATAAAGTTCTTATTAAATACATTCTATATTGCAATTGATAAACATAAATGTATCTATTCTAAATATGTCCGCATACATATACAGGAATGCATTTCTCTAGTTTTTCTGACACATTCACAGAAAAAAAATTATTGTACACACACACACATGTACATCTATAAATATTGTGTATTTTCATTTTTTTCGCGTTTAAAATTATTCATTTATTGTAGGAAAATTACTGTTTATTGGTGTGTGAATTATTTTGATACATAAACCTGCAAATGTTATACGTTGACAAATCTATGTTAACTGTTAAATAAAGAAAATATTGTTAGATAAACCAAAATAAATTATGCAAAAATGTATTTATGATTGCTTAAATATGTAACTAACATTTTTGGTTACATATAACAATGATTTTTTTTCTCGCCAATATATTAAATGTTTTCAATATTTCCACTTAAATTTACATATTTTCCATTTTAATGCATATTCAGCGTATTTCCCTACAAAAATATTGTTTATTTATTTTCAGTTATAATGTTGAGCGCTTCATTTGTAGCTTTTATCCATGTTTTTGAGTTCCAATTAATGCATTTCTTTATTTAGCCTTTTGATATTCCTTGCGTAGTTTTAAAACTAATTGCCACAAATAAAATGTGAAGCAGAATATTTGAATCATATATGTATACATACATAATGTTACTTACTACAGAAATATTATTATATATTTTTTATTTATTTTTATTCTTTTTTCTCTTCCGTTTTCAACAGTCGATAGCGTCATATGACGATGTCAAGGAGCAGCTGAAGAAACATAATGCAACACTTTAAGTGCAATTTATTGGAAGTAATTGATCTTGAAATATTTATGTGTATATATATTTCGTATTCTTAGAGATAAAATAACTGCTTCCTCTAATTAATTTAAGTAAAACTAAACTGTGTGTGCATTTCTACTATTTATGTATTCTGTGTAATTTAACAATTTCTAGGCAAAAACAAAAAAAATATTTATTAATAAATTTCGTGGAAAAAAGTCATTTGGAACTCTTTTTATTTTCAACTAGTGGAACCAACAAACATCGCATCTCCTCAATACCATGCTTTTGATTTAACACCAGAGTGATTATGAAAAGGTTAGATTCGACAGAAGTGGCTTTAAAAATTTTTAAGTCATTTTTTAAAATCAGTTTTTAATATCAGTATTCTGATATAACGATGTTTACCCTATCACTGAGTTCATTATCCATCCGCATCGAATCCTTTTAAATTTCGTTGTATAATTTATCTTGATGTCTGCTTGTCTTATACAAATCAACGATGAAAGTAGCTCTTAGATATCGTAAAATAAAGAATGATCCATATCGAGGTTCTCAACTTTTTTAAATACAAAAATACAGAAATTTCAAATTTAATGGAAAATGTTTCTTATCGCTCTAAAGATATTTTAAAGATTGGCCGTGGCTACGTTTTAAATGGCCCATCCGTTGAGACCAATTATCGATTACTTTTTTGAGCATCTCGACTGGTAACTGGCGAATTACATGCGTGATGCTTTGCTCCAAGGTCTGCATCGAAGCGAGATCGTCCGCATAGACCTTGGACTTTGCACATCCCTACAGGAAAAAGTCTCACGGTGTGATATCATATGATCTTGGTGGCCAATCAGCGGGTCCAAGACATGAAATTACCTGCTTACTGAAGTGAGCCCTCAATAAATCCGTTGACTGTTCCGATGTGTGAGAAGTAGCACCGACTTGTGGACACCAAATATCACCGAGATCACCAGCTTCAATTTCGGGCATCAAATAGTCGGTTACTATGACACGATAACAGTCGGCATTGACTTTTACGGCGCGGAATCGACGCTCCACGGTCTTCGTATACACTGTCAGCTACGGCCGCTAAATTTTCTTTATTACGTACTGAACGTTGGTTATTCGGTCGAATATTATCCAATAATGAATGCTGGGTTTCAAAATGGGTAATGGTATTGCGAATAGTACGCACAGTAGGCTCATTATGTTGACCATAAGTAGAGCGAAGCGCGCGAAACACATCCTTTACAGAACGTGAATATTCGTAATAAGATTGAACGATTTGTAAACGTTGCTCAGGTGTAAGTCTTTTCATGAGGAAATGCCAAACAACACTGAACAACAATAACATGACATTTATGAAAGGCTATTGGAAAAAGTACCACTCGGATCACCTAGCTATGCTTATGCAGATCAGATACAGTTTCATGCTCCTCATCGTTCTTACAGCTTCTAAAGCATCTCCTGAAGGGAACCCCAGGCTCAGCGCAAGTCGCCCTAACAAGCATGGACCTCTTAAAAGACCTACAACCGTAGATATGTTCTCTAATTTTGTCTAGAAGTTTTGTAGGTAGCAGTGTGATTCCATCTTCCCTCCATTGGACTGCTCATAAGTAGAGCCTGCGAGTAGCAGATTGCATATAGCAAAAGACATAGCAATGCCTTCTTTGTCAAGAAGAATCTGCTTGGTCATGCATAGTTTGTCTGTCCTACAATTTCTATCTATATTCCTGTGACCGGAAATCTAAGTGAGAGATAATTTCTTCAAAAACTCCAAAAACAAGCGCGGTTTGTCAACCAGTTTGTTTGTAGCAGCTGTTTTGATATCAGTCGGTCTCAGTTGCCTATGCAAATACTCTTTTACAGTCTCAATCGAGCCAAAACGGATTCCACGGATGGGTAACTTGATTTTAGGAAATAAAAAAAGTCGTATGGGACCAAATCCGATGAATACGGTGGTTGATCGATAGCATTATGTATGAGTTGTATGATCTACAATGCCATTAAAAAACAATACTTTGACTCAGAGGACGACCTAGAGAATACTTTTTATCATTATTTGCAATGTATGACCACGCCTGCTGGTCGAACTACCTAAACAAAGCTTTCCATGAATTAAAAGTAACTTTAAATTACCGTAATCTCCTGTCATTTAAATACTGCAGGATACACATACATATATATGTATGTACATACTCGTATAACCATACATACATACGGATATCAGCAATATATAGATTTCGAGCATTCATTCGCTATTCACCACTTGTTGTCTCTCCAACAACATGTTGTCTGTGGCATGCAACAGTTTGAATGAATGCAACAACAAAAAAATAGAAACATTGCCATTAAATGCGGTCATTAGCTTTCACTTCCGTTTACCGCCTATTGGGTTTGCTTCCGTTAGCGTTAGAGCAAAGCCATACGCCAACATTTTATACTCGTACATAACCAAGCGTACATACGAGTATGTGTATGCACATGCAAATGATATTATTTATATAAAAGCAATATATGTATATATGTAGTTTTGCTTACAAGTTTTTTGCCGCCTCTGCATCAGCCTTTGGCTTGCCCCGCGCACTGAGTGCTGTCAGTGTATTTGTGTCTGTGGTTTGCGCGCGTATGTTCATGCCATTGTGGTTGTTGTTGTCGCTCGATGAGCTGGAATTTAATGATAGTTTTTTTTTTTTCTGCGCAACCGCGGACAGTTTTACAGCCACTGCCATATATTGTAGTGTGGATTGCAATAAAATTCAACAAGAAAAAATAAAAATAAAAAAATTCAAAAATAGATAGATGCTTGTATATGTACGTAAATGTGCAAGTAAATGAAATAAAAATAATTCAATGTCTTTTATTGTTGTTTCATCCATTTAGTGTGTTATTAACAATTGCATATAAACGCCATAAATATATGGTTGGCACTTGACACCTCTGATTTGTAACCGGATTGTGGTTGATGTGCGATAAGTCATAAAATTTTATTAAAGAAATCGTGCGAAGGAGGTTGGTAGTATATGAATTATATTTGATATAATATCATATCATATATGTATATATATATATATTTATGTATATAATGGCATATCTGACTATATATTTGTATTCGGCAGGGAATGCCAGCCCCTCCGAGTGTATTTCGAACATGAAATAAAGCTCCTCATAAAAAATCCATCAGTCGTTCGGAGGCGGCTGAGTATAAACTGTAGGTCCCTCCATTTGTTGGAAAAACGTCAAGACGCAAAACCGAAAATTGGAGGCGGAGCTCGGCCGAAAACCGCTTCAAAGGTTACAAAGCGCCAATTATGTAATCACTAAAGCGATTTTCGACCGAACTCCGAGCTCTGGTTGTTGGCCAGGACCCATGCACATGACTAACATGTGCTGCCAATTGCTACGTGTGCGACTGCGAGCAAGCTTCTAGGCCGACGCTTGCAAGTGAATTGCTATACAAACGTGTGATAATTTTAAAACTCTTAGCCTAGCGAGGTTGTACGTCACGTAGAAACTATATGTAAGGAAAATATTAACAACGTCTTGAGTGGGAGTTCCAACGTTTTATGATGATCCCTGCAAACGTATTAAAGGCTATGATTTAAGTGCTTTTAGTACTATGATGTTCTCGCTAGATTAAAAGCTGACCTTACCGCCTTCGAAGAAGAGCGACGGAAGCAACTAGGACGGAGATGAGTAGGTCCTTGTGACATTTATGTGAAGGTTTCTTGGTTACAGACCAGACAACTTCTTCTGTTATCTTTAATTCGTTGCTGTAGTAGCAAATACGACACGAATAGGAAAGGTACAATCTTTTATAAAACTGTACAGCTGCTGGGGGGAGAGAGAGAGAGAGAGAGAGGGAGAGAGACAGAGAGGGGGAGAGAGAGAGGGAGAGAGAGAGAGCGAGAGAGAGAGGGAGAGAGAGAGATAGAAAAGAAATATATATATTTATATATAAAAAGAGAGCGAGAGAGATAGTGAGAGAGATAGGTAGATAGATATAGAAAGAGATAGCGAGATATTATTTTAAAAGTGAAAGTGAGGGAAACTATTTTAAGAGTACTGCCCGCTAGCTGTGATTACTCTCTATAAAGATCAAGCTAAAAAATTTCTCGTTCTGTTTACTTTACTTTACACAAATTCTGTATCTTTTGCTTATAATGCATGCAATAATAAAATTATAAAGAAATGGAGTATGGTTTGAATACTTTTTCCCTTAACGATATATGTAGCAAGGTTACCTGTCGAAATCTGCTAATGAAATGGAAAAACTAAAAGACCCACAAACTTACAGGCAGCAATGATTGAACAGTTCAACCCGCAATAAATACCCATACAGAGCCATCGATGCCACTGTTATCGCAACAGTGAAAGAGACAAAACCATGCAACCAAGCTGGCAACATCGTTAAGCGGCTTTATGATGTGAGCCCACTGATGAAGCATGCCAATGCGGCCGTTGGATATGAGATGGACTCACGCTCACCTACTTGCGCTCGCAAGTAGAGGGTGTTTTTTTTGGACATACGTTTTTCAAGGAGAAATAAAATGCTCATAATATACTCTTACGGCTCAAAATCTAGTTTCAATGTAAAGGAAAGAATTTGTCATTATGTTATAAATATGATTCCGTGCAAGTGATCGCGGCAGCTGGCTCGGCTGAGAGCTCTATTCGACCACTTTTTGTTACAATTGGGCCGCATGTCAATGATCTCATGCTTTCATAGGCACGCGGCTTCATATAATCCACGTCCTTGGAGAACACGCCACAGATCCATAAAGCGAGATAACACGCTGACTGAATGTTTCCTTCAATAAATTGATTACCGCGTTAGCTTGATGACATGTGGCGCCATTTTGTTGGAATTAAAGGTCGTGCATATCAAAATCCTCCAATTCTGCATAAAAAAGTCATTAGTCATTGGGTTATAGCGTTCTCCATAGACTAAAACATTCTGGATAGGATAATTTATCAAGGAACTTGTACCAATGATTCCATCTGCCCATGAAGCACACCAAAGAGTGACTTTTTGAGGATATAGCGGCGTCTCAATAGCAGCTTGTGGGCTGTCTTCACCCAAATTTCGTTGCGATAATCGGGATCGATGCGGCCGCGGTAGCCGAATGGTTAGCAATGCGCACTACCATTCGGAAGGTTCGGGTTCAAATCCTGGTGTCGTACTAACATCCAAAGACTTATAGAAAATTAATTTAAATAAAAAA